TTTTGAGATGGAGTCTTGCTCTGCTGCCAGGCTGGAGCACAGTGGCGCAATCTCGGCTCACTGCAACCTCCACCTCCTGGGTTCAAGTGATTCTTCCGCCTTAGCCTCCTGAGTAGCTGGGACTACAGGCACGTGTTACCACACCCAGCTAATTTTTTTGTATTTTTAGTAGAGACAGGGTTTCACCATGTTGGCCAGGATGGTCTCGATCTATTGACCTCAAGATGTGGCCACCTCAGCCTCCCAAAATGCTGGGATTACAGGCGTGAGCCACCATGCCCGGTCGACTATAATTTTTTAAAAAACGAACCTAACAAGTGTTGGCCAGGATGTGGAGAGATTGGAACTCTCATAAATTGCTAGTGGGAATGTAATGTAAGGTGGTGTAGCTGTCAGGGAAAACAGTTTGGTAGTTCCTCAAAAAGTTAAACATAGAATTACCATATGACCCAGCAATTCCACTCCTAGGTATATACCCAAAAGAATTGAAAACAGGTGTTCAAACAAAAATTTGTATGCGAATGTTCGTAATAGCACCATTCACAATAACCAAAAGGTAGATAGTACAAGTGTCCATCAATGGATGAATAGCTAAACAAAATGTGGTACATTAATATAATGAAGTATTATTCAGCCATAAATTGAAATGAAGTACTGATAAATGTCACAACATGGATGACCCTCAAACACATTATGCTAAGTGAAAGAAGCCAGCACAAAGGCCACATATTGTATGATTCCATTTATATGAAATATCCAGAGTAGGCAATTACAGAGATAGAAAGCAGAATAGTTGTTGTCAGGGGCTGATGGGAGATACAAATGGTGAATGACTGCTTAATAGGAACTGGGCTTCCATTTGGGATAACCAAACAGGTTCTAATCCTTGATAGTGGTGATGATTGCATAACATTGTGAATGTATGTACTGTCACTGAATTGTATACTTTAAGATGGCTAACATGGTAAATTTTACATGATCTGTATTTTAGTACAATAAAAAATGCTATCTAATTCAATCCTTCCACTAATTCAGACTATACATCCCAATTCATCTGATTTAGTGGCATTCTGCAGAAAATACTTGTAGTCACAGCCCAGATTCATAAAACAATAAGCATCCACCCACCTACTACCAGTCTGTGCTTTAACTTTGGTTTTAACCTAACTTGTTTCTTTGTTGACATATCTAACTGAGGGCTGCTTCACTTCATAGGATCTTTTAACAACAAAATGGAGTTTTGTTCTGACTGGCCAATTCTCTTCATTATAAATTAGGTTTCTGTTTACTTTTTATTTCCAAAGGTTAATCATTCTAAACTCTGCTTCACACTAAGAGCCCTTTCAAGTTCACCAACAACCAATTCAATTAAACACACATTAGTTTAAGAATGGAAGTGTTTATATGGGCACATGCTACTAATTTGCTGATTGATATTATCTGGTTGACAAACTTAGACATATGAAATAGACACATTGCCCTCTCATGTGTCAACTGATTCTTCACATGAATATGTATCTATCAAATAATATTATATGCCCTAACCACTGATATTTTTTGGATTTCAAAGTGTAGAGACTATGCTTCAGTAAAAACCTCTATTTTTATCTTCGTGAAATACTCAAAACATCTGCAAAATATTACTGCTTCCAAAATACTATCTTCCATTGCTTATACATTAAAATTATGATTATTTGGTTTGTAGAATTGGATGGAAAACCACCAAGCAAATCAAAAGCCAATAATGTCAGCTCCTTCCCCAATCATCCCCCTAGTGGTGAGCTCCAGCAGGAGAATAGAGAACACAAGAAGAAATTATGCCTCTGATCTGTGAGCCCCCCCAACCTGCCCCTTAATATACTCACCTGAGTCGCTGTCAAAATCTCATGTGGTAAAGCCTTCTTTTGTGGATTCTTAGGTGACTCATCATCGACAGAAATTTCTACCAAGTCCTTAGAAGTTGGGTCAGTTCGGATAACAGGTGGGATGATGCTGAGTCGGCGTCGGCGCGATGGTGGGTTCTGTCAAGAGGGAGAATAGAAGGAACAAGTTAAAATCTGTGCATTTTCTCCCAAATTAGTGGTTTTCTCTTATTCTTTAATAAGAGAAAGAAGGCCAGGTGTGGTGGTGCACACCTGTAATCCCATCACTTTGGGAGGCTGAGGCGGGCAGATCATGATGTCAAGTGATCGAGACCATCCTGGCCAACATGATGAAACCCTGTTTCTACTCAAAATACAAAAATTAGCTGGGTGTGTTGGTGCATGTCTCTAGTGCCAGCTACTCGGGAGGCTGAGGCAGGAGAATCGCTTGAATCCAGGAGGTGGAGGTTGCAGCAGTGAGCTGAGATCGCACCACTGCACTCCAGTCTGGTGACAGAGCGAGACTCCATCTCAAAATAAAATAATAAAATAAGAGAAAGGAATCAAAAGTTTGTTGAAGACTAAGAATCCAAAGTAAAAAAAATAAATAAATAAACCCAGGGAAGAATTTTCTACCTCCCTGTCTTCATTTCTGGTACCTACTCAAACCAAAGACTAGTAGCTTTGATTTCCCCTCTGGGGTGCTGCACACTTTTGCCAATCCCCAAACAAAGACAGAAACTTCAAATTGCTTGTTCATGCAAAATCAGAATCCTGATGTTATCTCCTTACTGGTGTTAAATACAAATATTATTTAATTCTGATCTTTGTTTTAATTTTGGTCATGTCTTTGGAAGTCCAGTTCTCGTAGAGGTGAGTCTTTTAGTTATGACCTGGATTGGAATTGGCATCCAAACTACACTCTTCGCTCATAGTATTCCAGGAATTATCTGGATTGAATCTTGACTGTGTTAGTTGCTTATCTTAATCCTGTCAAGATTGATTTTCTGGGATTTTTAAAGAAAATCTACAGAAATAGTCCTAGTTTCCCGAAGGGGAAAAAATTGACCATTTGGGCTTTCCTTGCGATTCAGCAGACAATTTAGTTGTTTCCATTTTGAAGAAAATGGTACACTTGACTTGGAGGCACTGGTCCCTGCCATGGTCCTCTTGATGTGGATCAGAATCCCTGCTTTTTATCTTTAACAAATACTGGCTAAGCATCTACAATGCATTATACCCCATTCCAGGAACTGGGCCTGCAACAATAAACAAATTCTTGCTGTCATGAAGCTGACATGCTTGCTTCTGTTGTAGACTCTCCTCAGCTCAAAGCAGATAGCTTTCAGACACTGTAGCCAAAGAAGGTGCCACAATGGAAGCTTGCTGGGGTTATGTTCCTGTGGTGCTCCTGGCCAGGTTCTCCAGGGCTTCCTTATTACTACTAGGCCCCATTGGGAGCTCTTGGGAAGAGGCCAGATCAACCAGCCCCAAGCCCAGCTTTAATAATAATAACTACAATAATGACAACTAACTTTTACTAAGGGCTTACAATGTGCTAAGCAGGGAGTGCTCTCCATAGATACATCTCAATGAAGATTCACAACAATTCTTTGAAGCATTTACTATTGTGGGCTCGTTTTACAGATGGGAAAAACAAAGTTTGAGAGATGATGTAACCTGCCATAATTCTCCCAGTGGCAGAGAAAGCATTTGAAAGTTCTGTCCAGTTTGATTGTCCGTGTTCTTGATCACTATGAACTCCTGTCTCCTAATTAAAAGGGCCAGAAAAGGGAAAGCCCATACTAAAGGCCAAGTTCAAGAAGTTTAGAGTCAACAACCAGAGCAGATGGTGTGCCTGCTTCCTTAAGAAGGGCTGAGGGATAGTCAAGCCCATAAGCAATAAGAAAAACTGTTTTGAAGTCTCCGTTCCTTAAATGAATAAATTCAATTTGATTCAACAACAGCAATATGCTAATAATCTGCTGTTGTATCTTCTTAACTATTTGTGCTCAAATAAAGGGAACAGAGAATGTCTTGGAGAGTAATGTAGACATCTACATTCTTAACACTTCAGATAGGACATTAGGTGAAAATCTGGCAGGAAATAAAATGGTCTCAGTGTCAGTATTTCTGACATAACTGTATACCTGTATTTCTTCTTTCACAATCTCCTAGTTGTTCTGAATGTCACTTCATCCATTAGGATCCTGCCCCTTCAAAGGAATTGACCCCACTGGCCAATTCCATACTTGCACCAGCTTCTATGTAGCACTGGGTGTCAAGACTCTTGACTTAATGCTGTCAACTACCCTTCCGTTTGGGGTTGTCATTTTGGTACTTAAGGGAAGTTTCCCATGCAAAGGTCAGGCTGGTTGTTGATGACTTAGGTCCTATTAATACCTTGCTGTCTTCAGCCCTGTTTTCCAGGGTATGAACTAAGGGGTCTGGTCAAAAGTATGAGGTGTAGGCCCAAGCCAAACATTTAAGAAAACTTGCCTTTAGGCTATTGTGGCCTTTCCCAGCCACTTCCTTGTGAGAAGCAATGTCCCTAGAATGTTTTCCTTTAGTTTTCACAAAAATTAATTTTTTTAAAAAATGGGACTGGGCGCAGTGGCTCACACCTGTAATCCCAGCACGTTGGGAGGCCGAGGCAGGTGGATCACCTGAGGTTGGGAGTTTGAGGCCAGTCTGACCAACATGGAGAAACTCTGTCTCTACTAAAAATACAAAATTAGCCAGGTGTGGTGGTGCATGCTTGTAATCCCAGCTACTCAAGAAGCTGAGGCAGGAGAATCACTTGAACCTAGGAGGCGGAAGTTGTGGTGAGCCAAGATCATGCCATTTCACTCCAGCCTGGGCAACAAGAGCAAGACTCCGTCTCAAAAAAAAGAAAAGGAATATCTCTGCTACATGAGTCTCTCTGTTGCTGGGACTAAGAGAAGAGGGCAGAGAAGGAGGAGTCCAAGAAACCAGTTTCCTCTTTCTGAATGTGAGAACCCTGTGGCACTTGGTCATGGTTGTGAGGCCGCAGGAAGTGTAACTATGGAGGTAAGTGAAAGCTAGTGTTGATATTTAAAACTGAAGATTGAATAGTTCATGGAAATGACTTTTCCTGCTGTAGTACAAGACAGCAACAGTCTTCTGACTCTAGGGGTTGCTTAACAACCTTAGGGTCAACACAATTAGTGTCTGTCTCAGTGTTTTCTCCTCTACCCTTCATAGCTAATGGATCCAGAAGAAAGGAAGCCAGAGTGAGAGATGTGGGGTCTTAGCAGACATGTCAGAAATAAGCCCCACTTACTTTTCGCCAAATGGAAAATAATCATCTCTCCAGTGGAGAAGGGTGTCCTCCTTGTGTGGTCTTCCCACTTACACAGGGACCTTTGGACATAATCCCACCCACAGGCTGAGAGGGGGAAAGCAGCTGTTAAGGGTTGTCTCCTTGACAATATCTCCAGCTCCCCCTGGAGCATTTATAAATCAGAGCTATAGTCTGACTGAGCAATGGATCCCTACCATAAGTTTAGGATTAGCTGGAGGCAAGAAGCCACATAAATGCTACATTTAATAGGGGCTAAGGTGTACCCTTCTTTCTGTCCAGGCAGGTATAAAGAACTCGAGCATCTTGGGATAATGGAAGGATCAAGGGTTTTGAGGCTAATATACCTCGGTCAGAGTTCCAAGTCTACAATTTACTGCCTGGGTAAGCTTGAGCAATGACTTTAACTTCTCTGAGTCTTCATTCAATCCTCACAAACAACCTTTTGAGGCAGATGTTAATATTATATCCACTGTAGATAAGGAAAAGAAGGCTCAAGCCAGGCGTCATGGCTCACAACTGTAATCCCAGCACTTTGGGAGGCTGAGGTGGGTGGATCACAAGATCAGGAGATCGAGACCGTCCTGGCCAACATGGTGAAACCCTGTCTGTACTAAAAATACAAAAATTAGCCGAGCATGGTGGTGCACGCCTGTAGTCTCAGCTACTCAGGAGGCCGAGGCAGGAGACTCGCTTGAACCCAGGAGGCAGAGGTTGCAGTGAGCCAAGATTGCTCCACTGCACTCCAGCCTGGTGACAGAGCAAGACTCTGTCTCAAAAAAAAAAAAAGAAGACTCAGAGAAGTTAAGCAACTAGCCCATGGGTCACATAGCCAGTAAGTAGCACAGTAAGAATTCAAGCATAGATCTGTCTTTCTGACTCAGCTGCCCATGCTCTGAACGATTCCACTTTGTTACCTCAGTGATCTTGGGGCTCGTAGCCCAGACTGCACTTGCAGGCACAGCTCCTGACATGGCTCCAGACACAGCTCCACGCACATTACTCTTAGGTTTAGGCAGAGTTCTGGAAATACGGGATCTCTGTATAAGAGAGAGAGAAAAACTTGAGGGTTGGTATGCCAGCACACAAACAGTAGAATGTCACTGCCAAAATAGTTATTCTTATTGTATGTTAAGAGAAGTAAATATAGGCCAGGGATGGTGGCTCATGCATGTAATCCCAGCACTTTGGGAGGCCAAGATAGGAGGGTTGCTTGAACCCAGGGGTTTGAGACCAGCCTGGGAAACATGGTGAAACCCTGTCTCCACTAAAAGTACCAAAAAATCATCTGGGCGTGGTGATACAGAACTGTAGTCCCAGCTACTCGGGAAGCTGAGGTGTGAGGATCACTTGAGCCTGGGAAGTTGAGACCGCAGTGAGCTATGATCATACCACTGCACTCTAGCCTAGGTGACAGAGTGAGACCTATCTCAAAAATAAGTAAATAAATAAATAGAAAGAGAGAAGTGAATATGGAAATACTAATCAACACTGTGTGCCAGGTAATAGGCACATTATATATTTATACATCCTCTCATTCAAGGCTTACAACAGCCCTTTGGGGGTAGGATCAGCTGAGAAGCAGAAACAAGTTCCCACTCCTATTAATTTTGGCAGGGTTACAGTAGGGAACAGAAGAGTAGTCCAATTAGACATTGATGCTTGAGTCCACTATTACCTGTCGAGGTCTGCCTCTCTGGGGATCCATAGAAGGACTCATTTTACTTGCTGATCTTTCAGGCTTAGGATCCAAGAAGAAGATGCTATCATGGGATAGGGCTTTGCTCCCCATGCCACTCTTGGCCCTGGACAGAAAGGAAAGGTCTTGTAAAATCAACCCAAGGATCATGAGAACTGAAGACAAACATATTTTCATAATATGGCCTACCATAGATACCTCAGAAGGAAAGCAGGGATGCATATGCATTGACATAGAAAGCTGCTTATGAGATTATAGGTGAAAAAAATAATAATATGATCCCATTTAATATATACAGATATATTACACACATATATATTTCATACTCAAAGGAAAAAATCTAAAAGGATATCCACAAATTGTTAGAGGTGTTTCCCTCTGAGGAATGGTGCACTAGGGACAGGAGGGAAATTTTCATTTTCTACTTCTTGTCCTTCTGTATAATTTTAATTTTTACATTATAAGCATATATCCTTTTTATGTAACAGTCTTACTGAGATATGGTTTACATACCATACAATTCACCCATTTAAAGTATATAATTAAATAGTAGCAATTCTAGGGAATGGGAGGAAAGGCCATGAGTTTTGCTATTATTACAATGAGAATTATAAAAGATCTTTCACACCCAAATTTCTCTCTAGTGTTTTTTTTTAAGTGTATCAAAGATCTTCTCAGATATGGCAGGCTTTCATTCATCAGATCCTTTCCTCTTTCACTCAGGAGCCCTACAATATATCTATTCTATTTTCAAAGTCATCTTATGTACCACCTGCCCCTCCCTTCCCCAAGCTTGCTAAATCCAGATGAGAATATCTTCTGATTTGGAATGGTGCCAGGTTGATGACAATTACGTGTTAAGAAAATTTAGAAGACAGAAACAAATGAAAGGCTAAAGACATGAAAGATGACTTTTTGGAGTGTGGTAATGTATTTTACCTTAAAAAAAATTCAACCAAAGACATCACAGGAAGAGCAAACTATAGACCAATACCTCTTATGAATATAGATGCAAAAATCCTCAATAAAAAACTCACAAACTCAATTCAGCAGCATATAAAGAAAATTATATACCATGACAATGTAGGATTTGCAAGGAACGATTGGCTTAACACATGAAAATCAATGAATGTCAAACACTATATTAATAGAATAAAAACAAAAACTATATGACCATTTCAATAGATGCAGAAAAAAGATTTGTAAAAGTCAACACCCCTCCATGATAAATGCACTCAACCTTGATAGAAGATATCTGTGACAAACCACGGCTAATATCATGGTGAAAGGCTGGATGTATTCCCCCTAAGATCGGGAAGAAGACAAGAATGACTGCCCTTAACATTTCTATTCAACAGTGTACGGGAGGTTACAGATAGCGAAATTAGGTAAGAAAATGAATTTAATGGCACCAAGAATGGAAAGGAAGAAGTGAAATTATCTCTATTCACAGATGACATAATTCTGTATATAAAAACTCCTAATGAATCCACTAAAAATGGCTAGAACTAATAAATGAATTCATCAAAGTTGAAGGATACAAGAACAATATATAAAAATTGTATTTCTATACACTTGCAATGAACAATCTGGAAATGAAATTATGAAAACCCTTCCATTTACAATAGCAACAAAAGAATAAAAACTTAAAAATAAATTTAACAAAATATGTGCAAAGCTCATACTCTGAACACCATAAGACACTGATGAGAAAAGTGCCAAAGGCCTGAATAAATGAAAGGAAATCTCATGTTCATTGGAAGACTTGAACTTGTCAAGATGTCAATACTTCACAAAATGATCTACAGATTCAATGCAATCCCTATTGAAATTCCAGCTGGCTTTTTTTTCCATAAAATTGTTTTTAAAATTCATAGTTAAATGCAAGGGACCACAAATAGCCAAAATAATCTTGAACAAGAGGTACAAAGTTGGATAACTTATACTTCAATTTCAAAACTTACTATAAAACTACAGTAATCAAGAGAGTGTAGCACTAGCATAAAGGTAGACATATAGATCAATGGAATAGAGTTAAGAGTTCAGAAATGAACCTATACATCTATGGTTGATTTTCAGCAAGGGTGCCAAGACTATTCAATGAAAAAAGAATAGTCTCTTCAACAGATGGTGCTGGGGCAACTGGGTAACTACATGCAAAAGAATTAAGTTGGACCTTTATTTCACACCAGATAAAAAAATTAACTCAAAATGCATTAAATGCCTAAATATGAGAGCTAAAACTGTAAAATTCTTAGAAGAAAACATAGGGGTAAATCTTTGTGATCTTGGATTTGGCAATGGATTTTTAGATATGACACCAAAACCTCAAGCAACAAAAGAAAAAAAAAATAGATAAATGGTGATATGGTTTGGCTGTGTGTCCCCACCTAAATTTCATGTCAAATTGTAATCCCCACACGTTGAGGGAAGGACATGGTGGGAGGTGATTGGATCATGGGGGCAGTTTCCCCCATGCTATTCTTGTGATAGTGAGTTCTCATGAGATCTGATAGCTTAAAAGCGTGTGGGAGTTCCCTGCTTGCACTCTCTCTCTACTGCCACCATGTAAGACGTGCCTTGCTTTCCCTTACCCTCTGCCATGATTGAACTGTGAGTCAATTAAATCTCTTTTCTTTATAAAGTACCCAGTCTCAGGTAGTTCTTTATAGCAGTGAGAACAGACTAATACAAATGGATTTCATCAAAATTAAAAATGTTTGTGCATCAAAGGTTACTAGCAAGAAAATGAAAAGATGACCTACATAATGGAAGAATATATTTGCAAATTATATATCTGATAAGAGTCTTGGATCTGAAATATACAAAGAACTCTCTCACTAATAGGAATTCTTATTATTGAATTCTTAAGGAATTCAATAATAAAATGTTAACCCAATTAGAAAATGAAAAAAGGATGTGAATAGACATTTCTCCAAAGAAGAAAGCTATACAAATATCTTTTCCAAAGATATACAAATGGCCAATAAGTACATGAATACATCCTCAACATCACTAGTTGGCAAGGAAATACAAATCAAAACCATAATGAGATGCCATTTCACACCCATTAAAATGGCTAGAATCAAAAATTCAATTCAGATCATAACAAGCATTGGCAAGGTTGTGGAGGAATTGGAACACCCATGCACTGCTGGTGGTGCCTCCATACATTGCTGGTGTTAAAATGGTGCAGCCGCTTTGGAAAACAGTCTAGCAGTGCCTCAAAAGGTTAAATATGTAACAGCCGTTTGATCCAACAATTCCACTCCTAGGTATATACCCCAGAGAAATAAAAACATATATCTGGCCAAAGCTTGTACACAAATGTTCACAGCAGTATTATTCACAATAGCCAAAAGGTGGAAAAAACCCTAATATCCATTAACTGATAAATAGATAAAATATGGTATAGTCATGCAATGAACTACTACTATTCAGTTGCCAGAATGATAAAATTCTGATACATGCTACAACATGAATGAACCTTGAAAACATACTGAGTACAAGAAGCTAGTAAGAAAAGATCACATTCCATTCATGTGAAATGTCCAGAATAGATAAATCCACAGAGACAGAAAGCAGATTAGTGATTTCTAGGGCATGGCGGGCATGGGGTGGAGGTTGAATAGGGAGGACTGGTCAATGGTAACAGGAGTTTCTTTTTGAGATGATAAAAAGTTCTAAAATTTATTATGATGATTGTACAACTCTGAGGATTTACAAAAAAATTGAATTTTACTATTTAAGTGGTTTAATTGTATAATATATGAATTATATCTCAATAAAACTGCTACCTACCAAAAAAGAAATCAAGTTCTTGATGCATGATTTTAAATGAATGACCCTTGAAAACATACTAAGTAAAAGACCCAGTCAAAAATAGCCACATATTATATAACTGCATTCATGTGAAATATTCATAATAGGCAAATCCATAGAGGCAGAAAGCAGATCAGTAGTTTGAAAGAGGAGAGGGGAAATGGAGAATGACTGCTACTGGGTGCAGGGTTTCTTTTTAGGGTGATGAAATGTCCTAAAACTGAGTAATAGTGATAGCTGCATACCCTAAAAGGTAGAATTTTGTAGTATGTGAATTATATTCCAATAAAGCTGTTATATAGAGACGTAAAAATTTTAAATGATAAAGTTATTCCTGTTAGGTAGGAAAAAATGTGTATGTGTATATAAAAGATGAGATTAGACATGAAAAAAGAAAGGAAGCAAAGAAGGAAAAAAGCAAGCAAGCTGATACATGCTACAACATGGATGACTCTTGAAAACATGCTAAGTGAAACAAGCATGCTAAGTGAAAACATGCTAAGTGAAACAACCTTTGTATGATTCTACTTACATCAAATATCCAGAATAAGCAAATTTATAGAGGCAGAAAGTAGATTAGTGGTTATTTAGGGGGAAAATTGTTCATTGGTACATGGTTTCTTTTAGAGAGTAATAGAAATGTTTAAAAATAGATAAAATAAATTTTTAAATGTTTAAATACACTTTTTGTACTTATTACCTTTATTACAAAACAATACATATATGTTGGTACTTTAAAAAATCTTCAGATGGTAACTAGATAGCAGCTTGAGCATTGTGGGGCTAGCACCCACCCTATCATTATGAGCCTGTGGGGCCATCACATGGATATATTTGATAATGACACACCATAAGGACAATCTCATGTTATGGGGATTAAAACAGAACCTGCTCTCAGATGGCTTGTGGGCCAGCAAGAGAGGAGAGGAGAGAGATGTTTGCTACTTTGTACTAAACTCCTACTTACCTTTTCCCTATAAAACTCTGCTCTTCAGGTGGCCCTGGTGTTGAAGGCAATGTAGTCTGCTTTATAAAACAGCAGTCCAGCAGAAAATTACTGACTCTCTAGATAAACACTTAATGGGCATATATGTTTGACCCAACATTGAGAGAGTAATGTTTCCGGACATCTCTATATACATGCATATGCTCAGTATGCACCCACCCGTAATATACTTTGATTCTGCTGCTCTGTGATCTACTGACTCAAATCAGGTTCAGAACCAGTATAGCATCTGTGACTACCTTGCCTCCCCTGCTTTGTGTGCAGAAAAACTGACAGGAAATCTTGGGCTATGAGTGGGCTTAAGAATGTCTCTCATTTCCATGCTTTGCATTAACCAGAGTGAAGCTGTTGAATTGGCTCTATAGTGCCAAGCCCTCCCTGATCAAAAGATTACATTAGCACCAGTTGTGACCAAGTTTGTCAGAAATCAAAACTCTTGTCCACTTAACATATCTAGTGCTCATTGATCTGTTTCCTGGAAGTGAAAAGAAAAAAAAATCCAAAATCTCAAAATCTCAGCCTTAAATAAGGACAGTGAAGTACATTATTACAACAGCACTCATTAAGAAATCAAATGAAGGAACGGGATTTGTCCATTCCATCAGATACAGCTTAATACAGTCTTGGAAGTAGATGCTGGTCCTGTGGTACAGGCCAGGGGAAGGCTGGTCATAAGTTTCATTATGATTGATTGCTTCAGTGAATGAAAAAAGCTGATCTCCCTTCTCTGGGGTGACATATTCCAGGGTTTCTTCTCCAAGCACATTAAGCAAAAGACTGAGATCAGGGGTGATCTTCAGGCCCCCTAAGTTATATTCTTTTTTTTTTTTAAGACAGAGTTTCGCTTTTATCCCCCAGACTGGAGTGCAATGGCACAATCTCGGCTCACTGCAACCTCCGCCTCCCAGGTTCAAGCGATTCTCCTGCCTCAGCCTCCCGAGTAGCTGGGATTTTAGGTGTCCACCACCACGCCTGGCTACTTTTTTTGGTGTGTTTTTAGTAGAGATGGGGTTTCACCATGTTGGTCAGGCTTGTCTCGAACTCATGACCCAGGTGATCCGCCCGCCTCAGCCTCCCAAAGTGATGGGATTACTGGCATGAGCCACCGCACCCAGCCAAGTTACATTCTTTGAGTTAATTTATGTTCCTTGCATACAAAAAAAATACCCCCCTTCTCTCTCTCTCTCTCTCTCTGTCTCTCTTTCCGGGTCATGTGTGCACACACTTCTGGAAAGGAAGGAACAATAAGAGGGGGAAATGTAGAACTTTAGCAGAGATAGTAAACCTGAATGCCCCTCCCCGAACTCCTGCCTGCTTTTAGCAGGTTAGTCTTAGTCTTACTGAACACTATAAGGTGGTGGGCTATAATAGTATTACTTGTGAGGTACTGCATAAGCCCCTCTTCCAAAACCATCTCCCCTACTCCCAGCAAGACTATCTGAATTCCTCACACTGGATGCACTCATGAAGGTTGTTCTTAAGGAGCCATATATGATAACTATCAGGCCATTATGTTATAGAATGTATTGGGGGAGGTATTGAGGACAGTATAACATGTCAGCTAACTGCCCCATTCCCTTAAGACTGCATGGTTGGAATGGATAGCAGGAGTGGTGAGCTCTGTGGAGAGTCCAGGTAAGTCTGGCATTTAAGGCCAGGAGAACAGGCCTAAATAGAACTCCATAGAGGGGGTCTGATTGATCCAGAGACAGCTGGGGATCCTAGATGTCCAGATAGCACAATAGGTTGTGGAAATTTGGGCACTGCAGATGAATATCTGAATAGTGATGGCAGTGGTAGCTGGAAACAGTCTTTCCTATGCGCTCTGTGACTATAGCATTTCCCCTAGTATCCTGGGATGGGGAGAGAGGGATTTGGGTTATTTGCTTGAGTATGTGTTTTTATAGCAACACAGTGATTTCATGCTCACAGCCCAACCCACTCCCAGTTGATAGCTTTACTATATGAGGCTTTCATCATTCGTTATGAGATTTTGGCCAGATCTGTAGTCTGGGAGCCAGGCAAGCAAACCAGACCAAGCCTCTTGAACGATGTAGGCCCTTCTTACCAGATCAAATAGGCCTCCAGCTCCTCAATGGCTGCAGGCCCCACATCTCAACTTATTTTAGCTGTGACAGGAAGGGCTTCCCTGAATATCTGTACTCTCTCAGTGCTCTTGGGAAACAGGGTATGCATTTGCCATGCTCTAACCCACTGAGCTGTGCAGCTCAGACAACAAACACGCATATGCACACAGAGAATAGCACTGTCGCCCCTCCCACCTCTGACATGACTGCATTGGCAATGACTGCAAGCCTGGCCCCCATAGGTGGGGACTCTTGGTGATCCTAGTGATTCGGCTGCCAAAAGATGACCTAGATCCAACTGTTTGCCTCTTCCCCTGTCACCATCACTCTCCACCCCATCTGAGCTTACCTGGCCCCAGTTGGTTGCTTTTCCCGAACAGGCTCCAGAGAAGAGATGTTAATGTTGCTTCTGGACAAACTCGGTTCTAGAATTTCTTCTTCCTGGCTATCTTCAGCCTCTTTTTTCTTCTTCTTACCAAAAAAGCTCTTAAGGGCTTTAAATTTGGATTTCTTCTTTCCTGGAAGTGAAAAGTGAAAATGAGTCAGAGTGTGATGGTAGAAGGGAAGACAAGAGAGGAAACAGGGACTTCATGACAGGAACAAGGACCATGATCCCACCCAGGTGGCCTGCAGAGCTTGGCCTCAACCCCAATGCTCACAGCACCATTCAACATTCATTTAATTAGTTGTCCCCTTAGTAACTCAGTACCAAAGTGTCTCAGTTACTGGTGAAAGCAGAAGCTTAGGCCACAGCTTGCGATCTTTGGGCAGCCTCTATTCAGGCCAAACTCACTAGGAATTAATTTGCCTCTCAATTTCAGCTATTAACATACACACTTCTTTCTTTGTCCTAAGAAGTTCATGCATGTGAAGCAATGATTGAGCCCATGAAAGCACTTGATACTCCCGCAATTTTACCCCAGTGGCTGGAGTCATTGCAATCCAATAGGAGAGCCAAGCTTCCACAGGTGAAAAATACTTTAGAACCCTTAGAAATCCAAGTCCAAGTGGGAGTTGATACTTCCCAGCCTGCATGCTCAAAGGATGCAGACCTAAAGAGTGAGTGCGGTTGGTTGGTGCAGTCCAGGAACACTTCCTTGAGGAAGGAATTTATGAGCAAAGGAGGTGGCTGGGAATCAAAAAGAAGAAAGGGCTACCCAGGCAAAGAAGCTGCCTGTGTAAAAGCATGTCAAAATCAGATACTAAAGAATTTTTCAAGGAGAGAGAGGAGAGAGAGAGAGAGTGTGTGTGTGTGTGTGTGTGTGTGTGTGTGTGTATGGTGTGTGTGTGTGTGTGTGTGTGTGTGTGTCTGTGCGAGATGATCATTGTGTGTGTTCTTCAACTCTTGCCAATTGGTTTGGATTATCTACAGGGCTGCTGCCTTTTGCACATGCAGCTAAATGTGAGTTTGCTCCATCTATAATAATCACCAGGGCAGCAGTGAGGAGTGTGAGCTTTAAATGCTCTTAAGGTGCTGATTGTTTGGGATTTAGTTTCTTTTTCTTTTCTTTTCTTTCCTTTTTTTTTTTTTTTT